AGTAGTAGCATATGTGTTGGGCTTTTAGAATTTTCCATGTATGTGATCACATTGCTGTGAACAGAGTTCTACTTCATCCTGTCCAATCATTATACCTCTTGCACCAAGCAGGACCTCAAACACAAATATGAATAGAAGGGGTGCTCTTGTGTGCAGATCTTAAGGTGAAAGTGTTCAATATTTTACCATTAAACAGTTTACCTGTAGATATTCATAAATTCCCTTCATTAGGTTGAGAAACTGCACTTTGACTACTTATTTACTGAAGTTTACTCCTTAATTCTCTTTAATACTGTTACCTTGATAAATAATGCTAATTGATTCTTTTTTTATTTTTATTTTAACTTTTATTTAGTGAATATAAATTTCCAAAGTACAGAATATTGCTAATTGATTCTTAATAGTATGCCAATCTTGCATTCCTGGGAAAACCCCACTAGGTCATCATGCAAAACTGGTGTAATAATTGAAAAATAGCTAGAATAGAAATTCTTTTTAAAAATATTTATTTATTTATTTGAAAGTCAGAGAGAGGGTCCAGCACCGTGGCTCACTTGGTTAATCCTCCACCTGCAGCGCCGGCATCCCATATGGGCGCTGGGTTCTAGTCCCAGTTGCTCCTCTTCCAGTCCAGCTCTCTGCTGTGGCCTGGGAAGGCAGTGGAGGATGGCCCAAGTCCTTGGGCTCCTGCACCCACATGGGAGACCAGGAGGAAGCACCTGGCTCCTGGCTTCAGATCGGCATAGTGTGCTGGCTGTAGCGGCCATTTGGGGGGTGAACCAACGGAAGGAAGACCTTTCTCTCTCTGTCTGTCTTAACTCTACCTGTCGAAAAAAAAAAAAAAAAAACAGATGGAAGACCTCTCTCTCTCTCTCTCTCTGCCTCTGCTTCTCTGTAACTCTGCCTTTCAAATAAATACATAATCTTAAAAAAAAAAAAAAAAGAAAAAGGAAGTCAGAGAGAGAGGAAGAGACAGAGAAGAGAGCTCTTCCATTTGCTGGTTCACTCTCTAAATGGCCACAATGCCCAGGGCTGATCAGGCAGAAGCCAGGAGCCAGGAGCTTCATCTGGGTCTCCCACATGAGTGCAGGGGCCCAAGCACCTGGGCCATCCTCTGTTGCTTTCCCAGGCGCATTAACAGGGAGCTGGATGGGAAGTTGAATAGCCGGGACTTGAACCAGCGCCCATATGGGATAGCAGCACCTCAGATGGTACCAGGCTTAACCTGCTGCATCACAGCACCAGCCCAACATCCTTTTTTATACACTGCTAAATTTAAATTGCTAATGTTTTGAATGTTTTGTTGAGGATTTTAGAGACTTTCATTTTTTAAAGATTTATTTATTTATTTGAAAGGGGGAGAGACAGAGAGAGACTGAGACCTTTCATCCACAGGTTCACTCCTTCAATGGCCCTAACAGCCATGTTGAGCCAAGCCAAAGCCAGGAGCCAGGAACTCCATTCAGGTCTCTCAAGTGGGTAGCAGGGACTCAAGCACTTGAGCCATCATCTGATACTTTCTCAGGTGCATTAGCAGGGAGCTGGATCAGAAGTAGAGCAGTGGGACTTAAACCAGCACTTTGATATAGAATGCAGGCATCCCAAGTGGTAGCTTAACCCATTGTACCACAGTGCCCACCTGGGGAGATCTGTTTTTTAAAGAGAAAGAGAGAGAGAGACTCCTATCCACAGTTCACTTCCTCAAATGGCCACAACAGCCAGGGCTTGGACAAGCTGAAGTCAGGAGCCAGGAACTCAATCCACGTGCCCCACATGGGTGTGGAGGCCCAAGCATTTGGACTATCATTTGCTGCTTTCCCCGGCACATTAGGAAGGAGCTAGATTGGAACTGGAGCAGCTGGAACTTGAACTGGCACCCATATGGGATGCCAGTACTTCAGACAGCAGCTTAACTTGTTGGCCCCATTCCATCCCTATTTTTTAAAATGTCATGTATGATAAGCCGGCGCCGAGGCTCACTAGGCTAATCCTCCGCCTTGCGGCTCCAGCACCCCAGGTTCTAGTCCCGGTCGGGGCGCCGGATTCTGTCCCGGTTGCCCCTCTTCCAGGCCAGCTCTCTGCTGTGGCCAGGGAGTGCAGTGGAGGATGGCCCAAGTCTTTGGGCCCTGCACCCCATGGGAGACCAGGATAAGTACCTGGCTCCTGCCATCGGATCAGTGTGGTGCACCGGCCGCAGTGCGCCGGCTGCAGCGGCCATTGGAGGGTGAACCAACAGCAAAGGAAGACCTTTCTCTCTGTCTCTCTCACTGTCCACTCTGCCTGTCAAAAAATTTTTTAAAAAAATGTCATGTATGATTAATATTTCCTCCTTAAGGCATGAAACTATCTGGACCTGGAATTTTCTTTGTGGGAAGAGTTTTAATTATAAATTCAGTAACTATCTATCTATCCATCCATCCATCCATCTATTTATCTATCTACCTACCTACCTACCTGGCAGACAGAGAGAGACAGCTCCCACCTGCTGGTTTCCTCCTTTAATACCTGCAATAAGCTAGGAGCTGAGAACTCAAGCCAGATCTCCCATGTACGTAGTAGCAGGAACCCCACACTGTGAGCTATCGTTACTGCTTCCCAGGGTCTGCGTTAACAGGAAGCTGGAATTAGGAGCCAGGGATCAAATCCAAGTTTGATGTGGGACATGAGCGACTAACTGGCATCTTATCCTTGTAGGCCAAAGGCTTGCCCCTGAATTTAATTTAACAGATAAGGAAATATCCACGTATTTTGAAGTCTGTTTTGGCAATCTATCTTTCAGTGGATGTACTCATCAGACCTAGGCCGTCCATCTTGCTGATATACAGTTGTCTGGCATAATGACAAAGGGGACAAAAGCCACACCTCCCTTTAGTGAGGCCAAATTCCTTTAGAAGATTCTCCACTGCATTATTTATGGGTAAGGTATAATGACATCTGCAACTTAACTCTCAAAGGAGTTAGCCAAACACATGAGACACAGAGAGGGAGAAAGGGATGTGAAACAGACATAAAACTGGTGAAGACAGACTGGAGGGTAATGGGAATTCACTGCATTATTTTAACGACTTTTCTAAATATGTAACACTTTTCAAAATAGAAAGTCAAATAATATATTCATATTAGCCAACCCAGTGATTTATAGAAAAATCACATACATACTCTCCACAAAGAAGGTTATCACAGATCAGAGCTTGAAAATCCTAAACATCTTCAATAAACCAACTGCAATACAATATGGTACTAAACATCCAAAAGCAGAAATATCACACTTTTACCAAGTGTCTTCATGTGGAAACTGCTCAGTATACAGACTATTGAGGATGCAAGTTACAACACTGAATATGTAGCCTTTTTCTATATGAGCAGGAAAAAGACTACAAAGCAGCACAATGCCAACAGCACTGTCCAGAGGACTCTCCTGTCTCAGAGGAGGGGTAGAGTGACAGGTGAACCTGACATTTCACACTCTTCTTTTTAATCACTAAAAGGATCCTAGATACTTCCCCCACTCCAGGGGTGACAGGAAGGACAGCTTACATTGATTAGGGGTCAGGAAGGGAGATCCTGCAGGCAGTGGTAATCACTGGCCACCAGGCAGCCCAGCAAAGTGGACTCAACGGTGGCCTGGAAGAGAGGAGCCCAGACTGTGACATCTGGTCTCGTAGCCTCCCAAATAGGTACAAGCTGGGAGATCAAGTAAGATGGTGCCCGGAAGATGAAGTGACATCACAAATGAAAAGCAGCTGCCCTGCCCCCTGTTTCCCAAGTACACTTAACGACCTTGGAGGTTCTCATCATGGGAACTCCACAGAGCCCAGTGAGATCCAGTCTGAAGATCTGAGTGCAGGTTTGAACCTGTGTTTCCTGCAGGCTCCTGGGCAAACTGTTCAGCTTTGTAGAAACTATTTCCACCTTCGAAACTCCAGGATGAAGACAAAAATTGTGATCACCATCCTCCTCAGTCAGAAGATTATTGTGGAAGCCCACCAGATGACATCTCTGAGGGTCGTCTCTGATCTTTCCAGTGCTTTATTTTAGCTGTTAGTGTCAACTGAAGAGTACTGGCTGTTCAAATGCTGCCATCCCACTGGAGAGTTATGTTCAAGAAAAGCCACAATTCAGCACTACCAATAAGCTTTGCCACCAGAAACCGTGGAGAATACAAGTGTTTGAATGAGTAAGAACAATGAACTTCATGGTGGCACGGAATCCGAGGGCTGGCCAGGGAAGCGTTAAGGGCAGAAACCACCCTTACAAAGGAAGATAAGTATGTGAGAATCCTTGGTTTCATCGCAAACATCCCCGACACTGGATTACAGAATATGAGGAAGGGACCCATCAGTTCCCCGCAGTGCTGTAAGAGAAAGGAAACTGCCCCGAGCTATAAAACCCCCGGTTGCTCTTGGTCTCTGATGGGGCTGCTGCATCATCGCTGAGCGCAGGGCCGACTGTGTGGGCTGGACCACTGTCCTAGGCTGGAAGCTGAGGTCCGAGCCGATTTCCTCTTGAAATGCCTACTGGAGCCAGCCATGAACAGAAGGCATGCGTGGACAGGCAGTCAGAAGCCAGTGACTGGACAAGATAGGCGCCTAACCTGTGGCTGCAGATGTGGCAAGAAGTCAGAAACACTAACTGTAGAGGAGGGAAGTAGTTTGTTTTCCTAGCCCTTACAATTTTTTTTTTTCAAGTAAGATCAGGGGCAAATATCTCCCCGGGTTTGGGGTCAGTGATCCTGCACCAGTAATTCAGTCCCAAATACCAATGCTGCTGTTTTACAGAAGTTACCTATTTGAAGGAGAGTGAGATGGAGCCATTTATTTAACTAAATCACTGTTACCCAGATATGCTCAAAGAAAATACATTAGAATTCACAGGTTTCTGCCCGAGGAACAACAAAAGCACACAATCTTGTCACATCAGATGTTGAGAGGTAGGCTGAGAACTGACCACTGGACTGTTTCTCTAGAACTGGAAAAATAACACAAAGGCCAACTCAGAGGTTAAGTTCAGGCAGTTTATTGTAAACAGGATAACCCTAGCACTCCTCCATACTGGCTGTGTGACGTGCTTTCTCTATCACATCAGCTGGCCAAAAAGAAGACTTTTTTTTTTAAGAAAAAAGTCCCAGGCAATTAATAACGCATTCGTTTCACAGACCTCGCCTGCTGAGCACTGAGTAAGCCGCAGTATCTGGGGTAGTCTGTTATTGCTCATGGGCTGCAGCTTGGACTCACTTAGATGAATCCATTAGTATGCCTGAGAGATCCCTCAGCAGCTCTGGATCCACTCTGGGACCTGGGAAACGCTGGAGTAACTCAACAGCAATCGCAGGTTTGTGGAAGACGACACGAGGTGGTTTTCAGACCTCTTCATGTGCCTTTCTCCTAAACATGATACTTGTGAACCTCAGCCATTTTGTTAAAAAAAGAGATAAAAGCTACTCAACAGCACATACTAACTTTCCACAGCAAAGGCAGGTGGGTTTTTATTTACTCTTCCAGTACTAACTTCATTTACTCTTCAGGACTAATTTCAGATCCATCTGCTGTATATCTGCAGTTTGATGAAAAGCTGCATAGTCTACAAAATGCATAAAACCAGAAGGAAGTGATGGTGCCACACACCTTCTGATGGACAGAGACGGGCTGCACACAGGGCGGCCCTTGAGGGTAAGGAGAGAAAGACGGCTACAGCACCACAGTGACCTGACTGCAGCAGGAGTTCTGCTTTTCGAAGCAGTCCCCTGGTTGTGACTGTGTCATTCTTGCCCCAAATGGAGACTGTTTGGAAAATGGCAAATGTAAAAACTGAAGGTGTGAAAAGACAGGACTCCGCAGAAAGAACTCCTGGCAAACAAGTCACGTGAAAATGCCACTCTTGACTCTGCCCAAGTTAGGGGGCCACAGGGTCACTTACTGTTACTAGTGCCTGTATGTGGAAATATATTCACAATTTCTCTTGACGCAATTTTAATAACAGTAAATATCTCAAAACAACTACAGTAACAATTTCATCTAAAATAGTTTTCTATGAAAAAAATATTTTTTTAAAAAGTCCACTCTAGTTATCATCTGTGATTGTATGTTTATATTTATATATTCAAAAAATAACACTTAAGGCAAGATTAGACTGGTAGTAGTGAGGGACTTTAGTCTTAGGGAGACTTGCTATTTAAGAATGCAAGACTTGACTTTTCATTTCGCCAAAAAGGTGGCTTTGTAGTTGTTGCCTTTTAAATTCGCAATGGGGTAAAATATTCTGGTTCACATACTGACTGCAATTTCCCTGTAGTACAAAGTCACAGGAGGTTGCAATAGCTGATGTTGGAAAAGCACGTCACACACTCAGTAGGATCTGAAGTCGACCCTACCTATACTCGTTAAATAAATACAACATGTTGATGAGAGAAAGTCAAACTGAGGGAACACTGCAAACCAACTATGAGCCACACTGTTTAACATGGATATGATTCAATCAGAAAGAAAGAAAACCACAGGAATCCTGAGAAATTCAGTTTGGGACAAAATCGATGTAAGGTAAATCTGTATTTCTAGCACTGTAAATAAGTTAGGGTGCTATAGGGTTTTCCAGCATTTTACTAGTTGGAATAAAAAACATGTTCAAACTTTATAAAAAGATTAAAACCATGCCTTATATAACCAGCAATTTCACTAATAAAACAAAATTGTTATCTTGTTCATCATCTGCCAAATGTAATGTTCTTCATTAATTTCCACGAAACCAGCAGGTAGAAAGCAAATTTGGGACTGGTTTCTACAAAGGTATTACCTTTCTAAATGTCTTGCAGTCTTCTCTGTCAACTTAAGGAGGCTTTTAGAAAAGAACTTTTACTTCCTTCAGACAAGTGACTATTTTACAGAACAGGAAAGAGAGATTCTATAGGAATATCATTCATCATTTTAAGCACTGTTATATAAGGGAAATTTCTCTTAGACATAAAAAGAAAAAATTTTAAAATATTTGAGAGGCATGTATTTTAAAAATATTCTACATCTATAAGATTCTGTAATTTAATTACTTTGGATTTTTAATATTTCTACATAATGACATTTGACAACTTCTTTGTATCGGTTTATCTTTCTTAAAGTGAATCGGAAAGTACTAGAGTGGCCAAGATGGTTTCCCTAGGCCTCGGAAGATTCCGGAACGCATCCACTTGCATTTTTCCAGCCACAGGGAACCTTCAGAGTTTTGCAGCCATGAAGTTAATATGTGGCTTCACAAGGGGAAAGAGGGGCAATCCACGTTTGAACTCGGTCATGTTCTGAATCACTTCAGGCTGGGGGGAAAAAAATAACACAGGGTTTCTTTTAGTGTATTTAACCTACACATCAGGTTAAGAACACGACATCAACTTTTCTGGGGAGAGGGGCACAAGCACCCACTGTTTTCTACCTTCCACAATGGCGACTAGCTCATCTTGGGTCACTAGGGCCGCAGGGTCACCAACTGTTCTATGCAAACCTATGGCAAGTGTCCCCAGTGGGATTCTGGGCCAGAAGGAAGAGTCTTGGCTTTCCTCTGAGCACACAAAAGCTGGCTCAGTAGGGGCTCAGGACCAAGGCTTCAGCAGAGCAGCAGAGGCTGGTGTGCCCAGCCCGTTTGCTCCTCCTGCAAGTAAATGCCAGTCTTTCTAATGATTAAAATACACAGGCAATACTGAGTGCCGGGAATGGATGTGGCCAGAGATGACTCACTGCACAGTAACACAAGTGTTCACACAAAAGGCAAAGGCAGGCAAGGGCAGAGCTGAGTGACAGGCATTCGAGGGGGACGGCAAGTGGAAGCTGGAACATCTGGTGACCTGAAACATCTGTCTGTGTGTCCTGATGAATAAGCTCCCTCTAAGCAGGAAATCCTGACAGCACAATCTAACACCAGATTTACATTTCTTACTTGTGGCAAGGCTGGTGCTTGTGACAAGTTTATATCATTTTGACACGGGAACTCTCCAACAACAGGACCTATAAGGAAATTAAAGGTTAATGCTCTGAACTTAACACTTGCATGCAAGAGCAACTTTTCAAAACAAATCTAAAGCAGATTCAGTTCATCATCAGATCCAGTTCCTAGAATTCTCAGATGCTCCTTTGCTTGTCCTGCCTTCTATCTGCGGTGTCCACAATGGCTCTTCAGGCTAAAGAGGTCATAAAGCCCTGGCTACAGCAGCTTGGCTGCCCAGGTCTGACCTGACTGGATGCTGCGGTTCTGGCTAGCCAGAAAAATGCAGGAAAATGACCCAGAAGGGCAGTGGAGTTAATAGCCACAGGGCAAACCATGGCCATCAAAAGGCAGGAGATGGCAAGATGGAGCAGACGACTTGCTCACCCTTCCCTCCAAATGCAGTGGTGCCACACAGCCTCTTTGAAGATTCCCCACCAGCTACCACCTGTGTGTCCTTGAGGAGCTTTGCTGATGCCCTGGTATGAGCTCTCCCCTTCGTGGCTTCATTTCCCTCTTCCCCTTAACTTCTGCTTTGATAAAGCAGACCATCTCCAGTTCCCTTTGTCTACGCTTTACTTTCTGACACTCTAAGGCATGTCACTATGGTAAGGAACAGCCATGAGGTGGCTCAACGTGAACCTAAACATAGGTTTTTCAAAAAAGTCAATACTCACAAGAATCCATTTCCCTGGCAAGAACATGGACGGACACCTTGTGTCTCCTTGGAGCATCTACTGCCAACATTTCCTGGGTAGAAAGAAGAGTAAGGTCATCCTTTTGCTCCACGAAGGAACTCAAAATGAAGTACTCTACGATGACTATGAAGAAACTCAGTTAGATACTGAAAAGTTGCTGCCCAGGGTTGGGAAGCCCACTTGGGGTTATATTTCAGATTTGGATTTTGTTTAATATATAGTGCATCTATTCCAAGGCTGTCACTGAAAAAGAGTAGTGGGTAGATAAGATGCTTGTCTTCCTCTAAACAAGGCAAAGGGAGCTATGAGGTAAAGAAAATAACTTGTCCAGAGGTCTCTCTGCACAGCCACAATGGCTCAAATCTCACTGCTGAAAAAGCTGCACTTAAGACACTGGCTTTTCCTATCAAACTCAGAACTGATAGCATTGCATTGTCCTTTTTCTTCTTGCTAAGGTGTAACTGGCTGTACTAACACTTGTATGCCTGCAAAGAGACCAGCTGCCTTGTACTTCTGCAGAGGATCCGGAGGGAGGAGGCGCAAGATCACCGTTTTCCCCTAGGAAACTCACACCTGCAGGCTGGGGACTGTTTCTTTTTCTTCACCCTCCCGCACAGCAGCAGCAGTAATGAATGAACTGGTCACTGGAAGCCCTAATATGGAGAACCATGTGAGCAGGCCTCACTGCTCAAGCTTTTACAAAGTCATTCTACCCAGAGTCAAGCACTGAGTCCTGTGCTGACAGCTTTAACAGATCCCCAGAAAACGGCACTGTGAAGTAGACGATCTCTCTCCTAAGGGATGTGAGCACAGGGCAGAACCAAGTTCCTGACCACTTAACACCTAATCACAGACACAAACCAGAAGTGGCTAGAAGGCCGGCGCTGCGGCTCACTAGGCTAATCCTCCGCCTTCCGGCGCCGGCACACCGGTTCTAGTCCCGGTCGGGGCGCCGGATTCTGTCCCGGTTGCCCCTCTTCCAGGCCAGCTCTCTGCTGTGGCCCGGGAGTGCAGTGGAGGATGGCGCAAGTGCTTGGGCCCTGCACCCCATGGGAGACCAGGAGAAGTACCTGGCTCCTGCCATCGGATCAGCGGAGTACGCCGGCCACAGCGTGCTGGCCACGGCGGCCATTGGAGGGTGAACCAATGGCAAAGGAAGACCTTTCTCTCTGTCTCTCTCTCTCACTCTGCCTGTCAAAAAAAAAAAAAAAAAAAAAAAAAGAGAGAGAGAGAAGAAGTGGCTAGAATACCAAGGGACAATTCTAAGGTGCTATAGTAATCATAAGGTGTAATTTTGGTCCTTGTCTCAAAAAACAGGCATAGAATATTTTACACAACTTAGAGGCCCCAATATACCATAAAGAATGTATTTAGTACTTTAAATAGGTACAATTCTATTGCAAAAGCAAAAATTTAGAATTTGTGCACTTAGCATGTTTACTATACATTATGTATCTACTTAGCACAAATTCTGTTATACTTTTTAGAATTTTGGAATGCAGGAGAAGAGTCAGATGGTGTAAATCCTCCCCGCTGTTTCTTATGGGAAACCTTGGCTTTTTAAAAAGTGTTTATTTATTTGAAAGATAAAATGACAGAGACAGACAGAGATTTTCTATTTGCTGGTCACTCATCAAATGCCTCCAACAGCCAGGGCTATGTCAGGCCAAAGTGAAGCACCTGAAACTCCATCCAGGTCTTCCATGTGCGAGGCAGGGACCCAAGTACTTGAGCCACTATCTGCTGCCTCTTAGCTGGATGGGAAATAAAAGGACTGGGACTGGAAATGACACTCTGATGTGAGATGTGGGCATGCCAAGCAGTGCTTACCCTGCTGTGCCACTATGCCTGTCCCTGAACCTCTTAAATTGTGCTGGGAAGTTTTCAAATGAATGACTGAATGAATAAAGAAATACATTTACTTATTTATATATTTTTGAAAAGGTACGTGCACGCACACACACACACACACACACACAGATCTTATATCCATTGGTTCATTTCCAAATGCCCACAACACCTGGGGTTGGGCCAGGCTGAGGCCAGGAGCCACAAACTCAGTATGGTTCTTCCATATGCGTAGTAGGGGCCCAACTACTTGAGCCCCTACTTGGTGCCTCCCAGGACGCACTTTAGCAGGAAGCTGGGATCAGGAGCTGAAAAAGGACTTCAACGCAGGCACTGCTGGATGCAGGGTCCTACGCAGCGTCTTAACTGCTATGCCAAACACCCACAACCCTGTGCCAAAAAGAATTTAATGGTAGTGCTTCTCCTTAATTTCTTTTTCTAAGAATTTGAGAGGCAGAGAGATAGACAAAGTTCCCATCTCTAGTTGCCTGCCGTGGTTGGTGCTGGACTAGGCTGGGCAGGCCTGAAGCCAGGAGTCAGGAATTCAATCCAAGTCTCTTATGTGGGAGGCAGGAACCCATTACTTGAACATCACCACTGCATCCCAGCTTATGCATTAGCAGGAAGCTGGAGTTGAGAACTGAACCCAGGCAGTGGAATGTGGAGTCCTAACCACTAAGCAAATGTCCACCCGATCTTGATAAACTGTCTCAGTGAGCACAAACACTCAAAACTCACAAGACCTCTGAACACAGCTCAAGGTGAATGAATAACCACACTTGTTTAAAAAAAAAAAAAGAAGAAGAAGAAGAAGAAGAAGCCTCAGGGGCACCTAAATGGGTGAAGACCATTTATAGTTGTCAGATCTTAGAAAATAATCTGATTCTTGAGCTCTTTTGCTTTCTTTGTTCTTCCCCACTAAACAAGCTCAGTAATATTCTTGGAAGGGTGGGATAAGAACAGAGAGAAGAAACAAAAGGAGAGCCTGAAGAGGTGGATTTGGAAGCCAGGGAGGGTCTTCACAGTCCTTGGTGGAGAGGGAGAAGAAAACAGTCTGGGGTTCAATATGAATTGTCTGCATTGTTTTCTAACAGTAATAGGGGTTTCTGTCAAAAACACTTCAATCCCCAAAACTCCTTCACAAATCCAGTGTGAGTGGGTTTAAAGCAGTAATATATAACATAGCACATAAACTAGTTCCTTATCAGTCAAAATCTAAACATATGAATTCAACTTACCTTGTAAAATTTGATGATATCGTCCTTGGTAAGTGTCTTTAAATATGCAACTTCTATGTTATCTTAAAAAGAAATCAAACAATGACTTACTAATATTTCTCTCAAAAATATTCATACTTACTTTAATTTATTTGAGAAGTAGAGAGACAGAGGGAGAGGAAGGGAGAGACAGAGAGAAAGCTCCCATCAACTGGATCATTCCACAAATGCCTACAGATGAGCCAGGTAAAAGCCAGGTGCTGGGAACTCAATCCAGGTCTTGGTGGCAGGGATCCAACAACTACTTGAGCTATCACCTGCTGCTTCCCAGGGTACACATCAGCAGGAAGCTGGAACTGGGAATAGGTCCAGGACTTTAACCCAGGCATTCTAATATGGAGTGCAGATATTTAAGTGGCACCTTAGCTGCTAGGCCAAATGCCTGCCCCTAGTATTTCCATATTTAAATAGTTCATAATACTACACTAAATGATACTATACTTTACTCAAAGACTAAAGTACTCAATGTACTAAGGCTATCATTTGTTCCTACTGGTAGAAAGGGAATAGATTTCAAGTAAAAATAAGTGATGCAATGCCATGGATAAAGTCTTGGCTTAGGATCCAGGCCAGCCTTGATTCATCACCTGACTCTCTATCACAGGCTGATGGATCTTGGGCTAGTCACTTCGACTTTTCTGAGCCTTAGCTTCCTCATCTGGAAATGGGGACAATCACTAATTTATGGAGCTATGGTAAGAATTAAGAAAACGATATACGGGGCTGGCATTGTGGTGTAGCTGGTTAACCTCTGTCTGCAGTGCCGGCATCCCATATGGGCACTGATTCAAGACCTGTCTGCCCCACTTCTGATTCAGCTCCCTACTAATTGTGCCTGGGAGACAGCCCAAACGCTTGGGCCCCGGCACCCATGTGGGTGACCCAGAAGAAGCTCTGGGCTCCTGGCGTAGGCCTGGCCTGCAGCCATTTGGGGAATAAACCAGATCTCTGTCTTTCCTCTTCTCTCTATAACTCTGCCTTTCAAATACATTAAAAAAATCTTTTTAAAAAATGATAAAGAGTTTTTCAAGCCGGCGCCGTGGCTCAATAGGCTAATCCTCCACCTTGCGGCGCCGGCACACCGGGTTCTAGTCCCGGTCGGGGCACCGGATTCTGTCCCGGTTGCCCCTCTTCCAGGCCAGCTCTCTGCTATGGCCAGGGAGTGCAGTGGAGGATGGCCCAGGTGCTTGGGCCCTGCACCCCATGGGAGACCAGGAAAAAGCACCTGGATCCTGGCTCCTGCCATCGGATCAGCGCGGTGCGCCGGCTGCAGCGGCGGCCATTGGAGGGTGAACCAACGGCAATGGAAGACCTTTCTCTCTCTGTCTCTCTCTCTCACTGTCCACTCTGCCTGTCAAAAATAAAAAATTAAAAAAAAAAAAAAGAGTTTTTCAAAATGTTACTAGAAAAATTAAATTAAAAGATAATGTGAATTTTCTGTGAACTTTTTTGTACACCCCCTGTGTGATAACTTGATGCTAGGCAAATGGTAAGTGCTCAATAAATTGTAGATAATATTATCATTAATAGTGAATCCAACTACTAGAAAAATTAAAGGTAAGGAAATCGAGGCCCAAAAAAAGGTGACTTGGCCAAGATTTTTAGTTGCTGGCACCAGAATGGGAACATAACCCCCAAGTCCCCTGATTTATAGAGTGGTTTAGCACACTCCTCTGTTAATCTCTGCTCGAGAAGAAAGACGGCTGATAGACTGGAGACTTTAGGAAGTACAGTTCTTCCAAGACTGAAAGCATGACAATCTCTGGAGACCCCTAAAGGCAAGTGTCTGAACTCCCGTCCCTCTTAGGGTAACACTGACCCCAAGAAGTTCAATCTGCAGAATTTGTCTTTTTAATGTATCTGTGTAGGGTCTCAGGCATAGAAAAAAGTGAAATTATACCTGTTCACACATTAATATATTAATATGATAAAGGCAGATGTAGCTCCTTTTGGGAAAGAAAAAAGAAAACATTTCTAAGAGGAGCTTGCTATTATGTTAAGTAACAGCTCTTAAGAAGTGTCAGCTCCTTCCCACATCCATCCATACTTGACTATCACCTTCAAAATCAAAGTCACTTTGAAGAATGGTTTCCACCCTCTCAAATGTTTCATTTCCATGCTGGGGCCTGAATTTTACTTTACCTCTATCAAAATTGTATTGCTGGGAGATGATTTCTCCCCAGTATTTAGCACACTCTGCAGACAGTTTCTTTGGTTTGTCTAGTCGACGAATTGCTAATGCTTGAATATGTTTCTGAAAGGCCTCTTCTGTCATATCCTCTATGGACTTTTCCATGGTAATTAAAAAAGCTTCAACTCTGCTTTCCAGGTAGTGAGGTGGCTTTTCTGACTGGATGATGAATCTCAAGCCCTGGATGCCATTGGCTCGACGCGGGCCACTGAAGACGATATATCCTGAAATGCAAACACCAGCCAGTCAGGACTCTGCCATTTAAGACTTGGGTCACTCTGAAGTTTTCAAATGATTTTATGAGACTCAAGAAAATCTACTCTAGGGTTTAGGTGATCCACTTCTGAAGAAATCTGAACAATTCAGATAGTCCTAGTTCCTAGGAACCAAATAAGAGGGTTCCCTGAGGAAGTCAGAAAGTTACAGATGACTTTTTCTTCTAAGGCCCAAATCCTACAAAAACCCACTCATCATTCAAACTCAAAATCCACGTATCGTATCTCCTCACTCTCCTAGTTCATCCCCTTCAATCTAGGCTGAACTTATTCCCGTTCCTAGAAAAGACTGGAGTCATTCTCATGCCTTCACCACTGTCCCATTAACATCTAAGTTCCTTCCATGAAGCTGGCTCTGTCACAGAGCACGTTAGAAAATCCGTGCTTGGACCAACTCGAGTCAGACCAAACTCTCAAGAGACTAGACTAATAAAAAGCCATTTCCACTGTAATCTTGTGAGACCATGCATTTCCCCTTTCAATACCTCTTCTAATCCAAGCTCTTCCCTTCACTGTTCTGCATGGATCTACTCCCACTGACAGCTATGGTGCCTCTGCGTCCTACTTCTGTCCTGTCACTGTCTTCAGCTATAGCCTCTGTATTTGAGCACACTTACAGTAACATTCACCATACTGTACTACAATAATCCCTTTACAGATATGCCAACCTGATTTGACTGATTTTTAATGTTTAGCATCTTGTATAGTAGCTATTAAAAAAAAAACAAAAACAAAAACAAACAAACAAAAAAAACCTTGGAGAGACTCACACAAATCTTTTCTCATTGGTTCTTCCCTATCATTATGGAGGCTTCTTTGTACTTCTTTCCTCACTGACCGCAAATCTGCCAGCATTTCCAAGACTGAACAGTGCCTAAAATACTGCAAATACTTACTGAGTACCTTCCACACCTCCCAGGGTTGGGACACAAAATGAATAAGAGGTAATACTTGCTCTCAGGGAACTCAAAGTCTGGTGAATCCTAGTGCCCCTGGCTTCCTATCATGCTACCCCTAAGTCTCCCCTTAGCATCCTTTCCTCCCTACCTGAAATGTCCTCTTCATTGACATGTACTACAACATAAATCCAGCACCAGCTCACTAAGAACTGCTGAATATCTGTAAGACACTGATTGCTTAACTTTCAGAAGTGGAGTTCTTATAAACAAGGTTTTCCTGAGTCTCTCTGAACAGAACACGCCTGGTACGCAGTGCCTGATGATTCCCACACATGGAAAACGCTTCCGGAGGACACTGGTTGTTCACCCCTCCTTCTCACCCAGCTGCTCCTTGGTGCGCAGGGTGTTGAAGCAAGGCTCAGAGATAATCTGACAGAAGAGCTCCAGAAACATATTCTCCGAGGTGCTCTGCATGTCGGTCTGGTAGTATATCTCGATGCCACAGTTGTTGTGAACTTCATTCCTCTGCTGGTAAACAAACCATCCTCCTGGCAAGGTCCAGAAAGAGTAACAGGCTCAAAAACTTACTCAGGTTTAATAAAGTCAACACTACACCTGCTCATTCTCAGAAAGGATCATTTAAACATCAACAGTGAAAGGGGGTAGTGAAGCTTAGAGCTGCACTTCCTCTCCTTCACCTTTCTAACCAGGTCCAAGGCTGACTGGGAGTCAAACTCTCTGCTTGTAAATGGGCAGCATGAAGTTCTCGCTCACTCAAAGAGCGAGGAAATATGCACTGTAAGCACCGCCCGTCTCCACTTACTTCCAGCCTTTTCACACGTAGCCCCACGAAGTCTTCTCTTTTGCAATGCCTAACTGCCTTTCCCTGGAGGCTTAGGTGAAGGGTTATTTAAGGCATTCACATCTGATCAGAATGGCTTACTGACACCTGACATTTTGAAAATGGGAAGTACACTGGGCTGTTTTGGGGCCTGCAGCAGTTGGGGAGAGCACTTCAGAGGCAAAAGAGACAGGGTCCCAGGAGAGAAAAGACAAAGAGGGAAGTGAGATGAAATGAGGCATGAGAGAGAAATTTCACTTTGAGATTTTGTTTCTAGAGTGGCAGTATTTTGTCCGAGGACAAATCCTATGACTCTTGAACAGCAGATTTCTATTTTTCCTCTGCTCTGCTTGTAGTAACTGAATCAAAAATATGAAGGAGGGGCTAGCACTGTGGCGTAGCAGGTAAAGCCATGGCCTGCAGGGCCAGCATCCCATGTGGATGCTGGTTTGAGCCCCAGCTGCTCCAGTTCCAATCCAGCTCCCTGCTAATGTGCCTGGGAAAGCAGTGGAGGATGGCCCAAAGTATTTGGGCCTCAACACCCACGTTGGAGACGCTGAGGAAGCTCCTTGCTCCTGGCTTTGGATGGGTCCAATTCCCAGCAGATGCGGCCATTGGGAAGTGAACCAGCGGATGGAAAATCTCTCTCTGTCTCTCCTTCTCTCTGTAACTCTGCCTTTGAAATAAATCAATCAATCTAAAAAAAAAAGTTTGTTTTTTTTTTTTTTTTTTTTTTTTTTTTTTTTTTTGACAGGCAGAGTGGACAGTGAGAGAGAGAGACAGAGAGAAAGGTCTTCCTTTGCCGTTGGTTCACCCTCCAATGGCCGCCGCGGCCGGCGCACCGCGCTGATCCGACGGCAGGAGCCAGGAGCCAGGTGCTTTTCCTGGTCTTCCATGGGGTGCAGGGCCCAAGCACCTGGACCATCCTCCACTGCACTCCCTGGCCACAGCAGAGAGCTGGCCTGGAAGAGGGGCAACCGGGACAGAATCCGGCGCCCCGACCGGGACTAGAACCCGGTGTGCCGGCGCCGCAAGGTGGAGGATTAGCCTAGTGAGCCACGGCGCCGGCCATAAAGTTTGAAATAAACCATTACCGGGTCTGTGCTGACTGGCTGTGCACAACAGCCTTGTGCTCAAGGTATCTCTAAGCAGTCAGCAAGGGCATCCTGAGGTAACAACACCCTCAAGTGGCTGCACGGTCTAATAAGCAGACAGAGATGTACTTTAATCCTAATGCAAGAGGAGAAGTGCAAAGTAGCTTAAATAGACTCCAGAAAAACTGCTGGGAGTTTAGATGCAGAAGCAACAATTTCCTAGCTGGGAGTTTTGGAAAAGTTTAGTGGAGTTGGTGGTTTGTTCGATAGGCCTAGCAGGAGTAGCTGGGCCATGATGAGGATGAAAGAGGAGAGGGAACAGCATTCAGAATGAAATAGCTGGGGGAAGTAGCAAAGATGACACATGCATGAAGAACAGCCAACAATCAAGTATAGCCAAAAAAAAAAAAAAAAAAAAAAATCAATAGTCTTGTTCTTGGTCTAACAACTTCCCATTATGCAGGTTTTTTTTTTTTGTTTATTTTCTTCTTTTCTGCACAGGCAGAGTGGACAGTGAGAAGGCAGAGTGGACAGTGAGAGAGACAGAGAGAAAGATCTTCCTTTGCCATTGGTTCACCCTCCAATGGCCACCGTGGCCAGCGCGCTGCGGCCGGCGCACCACGCTGATCCAAAGGCAGGAGCCAGGTGCTTCTCCTGGTCTCCCATGGGACGCAGGGCCCAAGCACTGGGGCCGTCCTCCACTGCACTCCCTGGCCACAGCAAAGAGCTGGCCTGGAAGAGGGGCAACCGGGACAGAATCTGGTGCCCCGACCGGGACTAGAATCCGCTGTGCTGGCGCCGCAAGGTGGAGGATTAGCCTATTGAGCCGCGGCACCGGCCCCATTATGCAGTTTTTAATAATGCTGAAAACAATGTTTAAAGAGTTTTTCTAAAAAAGATTTATTTATTTTAAAGGCAGGGTTGGGGTGGGGGAGATTCATTTTCTATCTGCTAGATCACTCCCCAAATGATTTCAGTGGCCAGGGCTGGGCTAGGCCAAAGTCAGGAGCTGGGAACTCCATCCAGGTCTCCCATGTGAGTGGCAGGGACTCAGTCACTTGGGCCATCTTCCACTGCTTTTCCAGGCACACTAGCAGGAAGCTGGATTGGAAGTGCAGCAGCCATGACTCAAACCAGCACCTATATGGAATGTTAGCATCACAGGCAGCAAAAGGGCTAAGTAGCTTAAACACCCACTGCTCCACAATGCAGTTTGTATACCAAGAGAAACTGCTGTTAATGTAGAAGTAACCCAAGATTTTAAGCCCCAATAAATACATTAAGTTAAACCAATTCTTTGTTAATCCTCCAAAAACATGTAATGAATCTATGTTCTCAGTACCTGTGGCTGTCCTAAAACTATTTTGGTCAAGGATTCCTATGAGCTTCCAATGAAATACTACCACTCTAAATTTCCATATTTTATAAACGGATTTTATTTAATGCTTCACAGTCCATATTTCTTAGTTTTGTGCTAATTTTACTTTCTAACTCCCCTACACTCAAGTACCAGTCAATTCTAGTATAATTCTCTTCAAAATTACTGCCTACCTCTAGTTTCACCTCTTTGGCTCTCCTACGAGAATTTTCTGGCAGAATTATCTGTCTCTAATCATATTTGTATAAGTAAAGGACGACTCCAGTGGATCCTTTGCCATAAAACAATGCATTATCATCCAACTGAATTCATGCTGTAATCACCCACATTGTTATGTCAAAGCAGTCCATTCCCAAAGTCACAATATTTCAACTTACTGTCAGGGAGCTGAACTTCTCTATACCGAACCAGCTGACTCGGAAGGAGAGGTTTTGTATGAGCATATTCAATAAGGGTGTCTTCAACCATTTGCATAATACTTAATGCAGCCTGGGGAAAAAGGCATTCACAGCACATTACGAAAAACCAAACATATCTTATGTGTGAAAGTAAAAACGGTATACAGAACAGTCCATTACAATATGACAACTTGCTTGCAAAAATCCATTAGTTGATCATTAAAATGGTTTGTAAATCTGAAGAACATACAATCCTATTAAAATAGATAAAAACTGAAATGCCAAAATGGCAGCAGTGCAGAGAAACAGGGATCACACACAATCATCAACGTCAATATCGATACTGGAGAGAAGGCACTGCCAGAGCCAGAGAGGTAGTGGTGGTGGAGAATGACCCACTCAGATACCTGGGGTCCCAGCAAAGCACTGGAGGTAAGCACAGGATTTACTGCCAATGATACAAACTTCCATAAGAATCCTGTCTGGCACTTGCTAGCTCCCGAACTTGGGCATGTTGTTTGAGTGCTCCTGAGACAGAATGCTATGGAAATCTGTAGTGCTTTGCATGTGCTAAGCACTTGGCAGGTACAATTTAATCCTTATAATCCCTGATATAGGTGCTATTATAATTTTACAGAAAGAAACAGCAGAGTGAAGACATTTTTCAGGAAACTATGTATCTGTTATGTGGCAGAGCCAAGATTTGAATCCAGGCTCCTGCACAAAGTAGGGACAATTATTGCCATTTCCTTCCATGAGTGCACAAGGCAGGCAACAGCAGAGGAGGCAGACATGAAGGCAGGCCCTCAGTTAACGACCCTCACAGGGCACTTCCCGTTCTCTCTCATACCTTTGTCCACAGAGACAGATGTGTGAACTCTAATGTGCCTATTATTTATCACACTCTGCTGGTTAACACTCTTGAGACAGACTAAAGGAAAAAACCTCTTGAGTTGATCCATGAAAGACTGCTAAAACCTCAATCACCTGCTTTGTTATGTTTCCATGGAGGAGGGCTTCAATGTGCAGCCGCGACAGGAGCTGAGGGATGAAGGCCTTAAGGCGAGGAAGGGTGACATCTGTAAAGACGTAAGAAGCAGTGAGCTCTGTGTATGAGAACAGCTTTGACTGAGACAACTTGAGACTTATAGGAGAACTGCAAAAATACTACAGGAAATCCCTGTACACCCTTCTGCCAGTTTTCTCTAATGCTCAGATGCTATTCTTTCCTAACAATAACACAAAGGTCAAAGCAAAGAAATTAACACTGGTACAATACTATTAACCAAAGTACAGACTGTCTGATTTCAGTTTTCTCACTGATGTCATTTTCTGTTCAAGGATCTAATCTACAATGACATTTAGCTGTCATGTGTCCTTCAGTCTTCTATAATTGGCAACCGTTTCTCGGTCGTTCTCATCTTTCATTGGCCTTGAAACTTTTGAAGAGTAACATTTAGTCATTTAGAAGAATTTCCTACAAGTGGGTTTATCCAGTATTTTCTCATGATGAAACTGTGCTTATCCATTAGTAGGGAGAGACTTCACAGGTAACATGCGTTACTCAAGCACATCATATCAGCATACATGGATTTAATGGGTTGTACTACTGGTGATGTTAACTCTGATCACTTGGTTAAGGTGGTGCCTGCCAGATGTCCTCACTATAAAGGTATATTTTATTCTTTTGGTTATAACTGAGTAACTCCTATAGCCTTCCTAACCATCAGTACTTATTTTTCCATTAAAATTAGTAAATATTTATTTGGGGGGACATAGCTTGAGACTATACAAACACTCTGTTTTCCCTTCATATTTCCCTTAGATTTTAATAATTTTGGCATTCATTTGTGGCTATGGCCTATAAAAATTATTATGGTGTACTAATGGTAACTTTTCTGTTTTCCTCATTCCTTTTACATGTATTGAGTTAATTCTTTTAAAAGGAAGAGTTGTCCCTTCTTTAACAGAACACCTGAGTAATAACTGCTACAGACAAAATCCATCAATGGTGGCTAAAATTAGTGACTGAAATTTAATGGGAGACATGAGAAGGAAATTAACACATACTTACTGTGGATCAGACATTTTACAGATGTTATCTTTTAAACTATAAGAATATACTATCATCCCCATTTTAGAAGTGAAAAAAACTGAAATTAAGATAATTTTTTTTTTTATCAGAAGTCATCAAGCTAGTAAACTGCAGAGCTGGGATGTGATCCTTGGTCTGACCCAAGTGGCACTCGTTCCACTACACTACATGGCCTTAGAAGCCCCTGTCACTAAACCCCTCCATACTTCTTTGCAGATTTCTATCACAACACTTATCCTCCTTTGTCTCTGTTGAAATGATCTGTTCTCATTTACGCTTTGTCACTAGACTGGTACTCCTTAAGCCAAGAAACACCATTTAATTGATCATTTTAAATTATTGTTTTAAAAACATTTATTTATTTGAGAGGGAAAGGGAGCGAGCATACTAGCTCCTATAAACTGGTTCACTCCCCAAATGCCCACAGTGGCCTGGGCTCACAGCCAGGAACTCTAAGTCTCCCATGTGGGTTTCAAGACCTCATTTCTATGAGCCCTCACTGCTGCCTCACACAGGGTCTACATTAGCAGGAAGCTGTAGTCAGGAGTTGGAGCCATTGAACTCAAGTACTCCAATATGGGACATAGGCATCTTAACTGGCATCTAAACCAGTAGGCCAAATTCCCACCCCAATCTGAATGTCTTTAAATCTTTAGGGGCAAAGTAAATGCTGTTTGACTACACTGGACTCTGAGGTTCCTGCTATTGTGGTTCCTAAACAGCTGAGTGACTTAAGAGTTACTGGGGAGCTAGCTTCTCATATTGAGTTGTCCCCAAATTAAGCTATGTTGGCATTCTGAATTATTATAGAAGTATATTTATCACAACAGAATTACTATTTTTTTAAATTTTTTGCCAGGCAGAGTTAGACAGTGAGAGAGAAAGACAAAGAGAGAGTTATAGACAGTGAGAGAGACAGAGAGAAAGGTCTTCCTTCCGTTGGTTCACTCCCCTAATGACCGCTACGGCCGGCGCTGCGCTGACCTGAAGCCAGGAGCCGGATGCTTCCTCCCGATCTCTCATGGGGGTGCAGGGGCCCAAGCATTTGGGCCATCCTCCACGGCCCTCCCAGGCCACAGCAGAGAGCTGGACTGGAAGAGGGGCAACCGGGACTAGAACCCGGGGTGCCGGGACCACAGGCGGAGGATTAGCCAAGTGAGCTACAGTGCCGGCCCAGAATTACTATTAATAGAGTAAAGAATTTCAACAAAAAAGCACTGACTTTACCTTTATAAAAGAAATTTTAGGAAGACTGTATATGCCTGTGAGATGTCAGAGCTTACTCTGCTTAAAATCTATCTGCCTGGGAGAGGGAGTGGGAGAGGGGAAGGCCACGGGAGGGAGGGAGGTTGAGGGGGGGAAGCCACAACAATACAAAAGTTGCACTTTGTAAATTCACATTTATTAAAAAAAAAACTATATAACAAAAAAAAGAAAAAGAAAAAAAAAAGAACTTAATACTTTACCCTTTTAGTATTTTTTATGTTCTACTTAAAACTATTGGTTGAACTCTGTAATTAATACACAATTACTCTTAGGTGTTTAATTAATGCTATAACTAATACTCAAATAGTATTTTACACTTTGTGTTTCTGTGTGGGTGCAAACTGTTGAAATCTTTACTTAATATATGCTAAATTGAGCCGGCGCCGCGGCTCACTAGGCTAATCCTCTGCCTAGCGGCGCCGGCACACCGGGTTCTAGTCCCGGTCGGGGCGCCGGATTCTGTCCCGGTTGCCCCTCTTCCAGGCCAGCCCTCTGCTGTGGCCAGGGAGTGCAGTGGAGGATGGCCCAGGTGCTTGGGCCCTGCACCCCATGGAAGACCAGGAAAAGCACCTGGCTCCTGGCTCCTGCCATCGGATCAGCGCGGTGCGCCGGCCGCAGCGCGCCGGCCGCGGCGGCCATTGGAGGGTGAACCAACGGCAAAGGAAGACCTTTCTCTCTGTCTCTCTCTCTCACTATCCACTCTGCCTGTCAAAAAAAAAAAAAAAAAATATATATATGCTAAATTGATCTTCTGTATATAAAAATAATTGAAAATTAATCTTGATGTGAAGGGAAGGGGAGAGGGAGTGGGAGAGGGGAGTGTTGTGGGTGGGAGGGAAGTTATTGGAGGGGGGGAAGCTATTGTAATCCATAAGCTGTACTTTGGAAATTTATGTTCATTAAATAAAATAAAAAAAAAATCCATCTGCCATCTGACCTAGATTCTAAGAGGAAAAAACCCTAAACCTCTGCTTTTTGATCATACCGAAAGCAGGATTCAGTTTCTCGAAAACATAATCAATTCTGAGCTTTTTTTAAAAAGGTAAAAATTCTTGCTAGTAACTGCACGATTCATAATTATTTTGCAAAGAAAACATATGAAATGTTAAGAAAAAAACACGTCTTCTAGTTAATGAATTTAAAGTCTAGCGTTCTAGCCAATGCCTGAGGCAATAAAATAATGATGTTGAATACTTTGGTTTTGATTTGTCACTGAAAACATTAACAGCATAGTGTTACATAATAAGTAATGACATCATAAAAGATTATTGAAAGTTTAATGAAATTCTTTTCTTAAAAATTGCATTTTACTTCTTGGGAAATAAAAACATAATAACAAAGGGTGATTTCAGTCTACATTTAGTTTCATTGTGTTCAATGGCTGTGTATGAGACATACACTTGTACTAGATACTAAATAGAAAAGATGAAGGAAGTCATTTCCACTGTTCAAGGAATTTAGAACTTTCAAGCAAAACTCCTGAAAACTAGACTTGAGGTTTAAAAAACCAAAAAACAAATTAAAATACCCAAGGATGACTCTAAACATCTTCCAAAAATTTAACTGAACTGAACAGAGCTAAAGAGGCTACAGCAGGAGAAAACGCCCAAGAACTTCCGTGTGATAAGACTTTTAAGTTCAGCCCAATTTTCCTTTTCTGAAAATTTCAGTATTAACAAGGGAAGGGGGAGAGTCAGAACACTTGGTCATTTGTAGAAATCTATGAACTGGTGTGTGTCCAGGATGAAAAGAGCAAATGTGGTTAAACTACCTGAATACAAAAGCCACTTCCAAAGCCATTACTGTTTTTATGAAAAATAAATACATCTGGCTTTAATAGGATTACACATTACTCAAAAGTACCAACCCTTGATGAAGGCATTAGGCTTTAAACAGAAATGAGTCTCACCATCCAGGGCTTCTTTTAACTCATCTTTAGTCCAAGCCACTTCAGTCATCAACAAGCGGAGGTAGTACATGGCATGCTGGTGAGGCTGCTCAGCCCGGAAATTGTTGAGAGATCGCATGTACTAGTGAAAGGAGACACACAGGTTTGTTAATTTTGTCAATCTTTTAAAAATCATTTCAACAGATCAGCTGTAACCAAACTTCATTTTGTGTAAAGTACGTGTAAATTCTTCTAAAGTTATATAACCAAGAATGGGGCTTAATCCCCTATGAGGTATCCTTTTTCTTTACCCAGGTTGCTTTTTTTTTGTTGTTGTTCATTTATTTATTTGAGAGGCACAGAGAGACAGACACAGACAGCAAGCTTCCATCTGTTGGTTCATTCCCCAAATGCCTGCAAGGGCTGGGATGGGGATGAGCCAAAGTTGAGAATCAGGAACACAATACAGGTTTCCCAGGTGGGTGGCAGGGACCCAACTCCTTGAGCTGTCATTTGCGAACCCAGTGTCTACACTTGCTGGAAGCTGGGATCAGAAGCCGCAACCAGGAATTGAATCCAGGCACTCCAATATAGGACATGGGCATCTTAACTAGTGTCTTAACAGCTAGACCAGATGCCCACAGCCAGGCTCCTTCTCTACCTCCAGCAGATGATGTGAACTCCAAGTGTTTTCACTACGGGACATCCCCCATCCCACAGCAAACTGTCTCCAGTTTTCAGGGTCTCCATCTTTTGACATCCTGCAATTCTACACATAAGACCATCTCAAGTCTCTGAAAAGCAGCAGCATGGGTACACATATATTGGATCACCATTTGAAAATGGATTGTAGCTTTTTATAGTGTAAAATGAAGGCCTCAGCTTAGCTTTGAAAGTAGCTATCAGTCCCATACTTCCATTGCTGGGCCAAATGTAGGATGAACTGAAGTGGAAAGACATCAAACCTAAGTACTGTGCCATAATGTGATGAGGTTCTTGTGGGAGAGCAAATTCAGTCTGCTGAAATGTGTTTTTTTCAAAGGAAGACGGGGATGAAACCTTTAGGGAGTGCCTGACAGCCCCTAAATACTTCCTTTGGAAAGTCAGAGGTGCAACTGCTCTAGTTCTTGGGGCCCACAGGGAAAGGGCCAAGTGTCCATCAGAGTGTGCTACGTTTTCTTTCTGGGTGTGGGGAGCGATCCGGACTAGACTGTTACTGGAATTAAGACTTATTCTATGCATCTGCTCTCCCACAATATGGCGCTGGGAGAGAAGTAAACAGCTTCCGCACAGCTGCCTCCAGTTCAACCAATTAACTGTAGGACTTGCTCCTGATTGGAGAGCAGCGTACTCAGCCGAGTTGGGATTGGCGGAGGAGGACTATAAAGGAGGAGAGAGACGGCATGCACGAGGAACATCTATGGGGAACATCTAGCTGAAGGAACACTCGCGCAGCCCCCGAGAGAACCGGCCGGCGGTGTGCCGCTCCCCTGCGGAAGTGGGGAATGCGGCCAGGGGGAACTGCCCTTCCACGGAGGTGGAAGGGATAGTAGCCAACCCGGGAAGAACCAGCAGCAAACCCGGGGAGGGCCGAGCAGACGAAAGAACAGCGCAGGGTCCTGTGTCGTTCCTCCACGAAGAGGGGGAGCGACATAATGGTGCCGTGACTCGGATAGGAAACCTAGGACGGATAGGAAACTTAGGAGGGAAGAAACGGGAAGAAGTGGAAAATATCGGAGAGAGAGACTAGCAAACAGCCTAGGGAAAAGCCGGACGAAAAAGGTGCCGGAAGAAGCTATTGAAAGCCTAGGCATAGACTCGGATACGGACTACAGGGGGAAGCTGGGAGAGATCTCTAAGGTTGAAAGCGAAAGTGAAAGCTAGAACAAACAGACTCAGATGCGGACTGTGGGGAGAGGCCAGGAGAAATGAGGGAGGAGTATTGTTGGAGGAAAGCTTGGGGAAACATACCGGGTAGAGAAAAATGTTAGGGAAATTGAAGCCGCGGGGGGCAGGCCAAGGCGGAGACGAAAGCCACTTTGGGATTCTCAAGTTAGCCCGGGAATAGGGGGCGAAAAGTTGAAACCAGAAGCGGAAACGTAAGCCAGATTGGGATCCGTCTGATTAGCCCGGGGAGCAAAGGACGGGAAGCCAAATCGTGGGGCGGAGACGTGAGCTGGGTTGAATTCGCCAGGCTAGCCCGGGGAACTTGGATTGAATGCTAATGGCGGAGACGTAAGCTACGCTGTGTGACTCGCGGAGGCTGCCGCGCGCAGACAGAGCGTGCGGGGCTCAAGTAGATAGGGAACGCTGGGCTAGTGTGAAGCCGCGCAGATGAGAGAGGCGCGGGCTGAAGCGGCTCAGAGCCGGAAAGCCACCGAGAAGTAGCCTCGGGGCGGGCGCCGGGAAGCCGCAGGGATAAGAGAAACAGAAGTTTAGAAGTAAAATGAGAGAAATAGGAATGCTGGAAGATAGAAGTAAAATGAGAGAAATAGGAATGCTGGAAGATAGAAGTAAAATGGGAGAAATAGGAATGCCCGGAGATAGAGAAATAGAGAAATAGAAAGGCCTCCCCACAATACTGCAATGAGAAGGCTTGGATTCGGTCTGCCTGATTAGTGAGGCGATGAGCACCTGCGGGCGGCTAGCAGCTTATGTGCCGCAGGTCACCGAAGACGGGCATGTTATTAACATCAATAGTCTCCCCACAAAACCGCAATGAGAAGGCTTGGATTCGGTCTGACTGATTAGTAAGGTGGTAAGCACCAGCAGGCAGCTCGACCAGAGTATGAGCTGCAGGTCACCGAAGACAGGCACGTTATCAACACCAATAAGTCACCCCACAACATGGCAATGAGAGAGCTTGGATTCGGTCTGCCTGATTAAGGCGGTAAGCACCAGCAGGTGGCTCGACCAGAGTATGAGCCGCAGGTCACCGAAGACAGGCACGCATCAGCGCCTAAAAACCTCCTCACAACATGGCGAAGAGAGGACCCGGATTCGGTTTGCCTGATTGATAGGACTTGTAAGAACCTGTGGCAACTCTAGCAAGTAGAGCAGAGTGTGTGCCGCGGGACACCGAAGACAGGCGCGTATCAACGCCAAAAATAAAAAGAAAGGGGGATCTGTGGGGAGCGATCCGGACTAGACTGTTACTGGAATTAAGACTTATTCTATGCATCTGCTCTCCCACAATATGGCGCTGGGAGAGAAGTAAACAGCTTCCGCACAGCTGCCTCCAGTTCAACCAATTAACTGTAGGACTTGCTCCTGATTGGAGAGCAGCGTACTCAGCCGAGTTGGGATTGGCGGAGGAGGACTATAAAGGAGGAGAGAGACGGCATGCACGAGGAACATCTATGGGGAACATCTAGCTGAAGGAACACTCGCGCAGCCCCCGAGAGAACCGGCCGGCGGTGTGCCGCTCCCCTGCGGAAGTGGGGAATGCGGCCAGGGGGAACTGCCCTTCCACGGAGGTGGAAGGGATAGTAGCCAACCCGGGAAGAACCAGCAGCAAACCCGGGGAGGGCCGAGCAGACGAAAGAACAGCGCAGGGTCCTGTGTCGTTCCTCCACGAAGAGGGGGAGCGACACTGGGTATAGGGTAGAGGATCTAGCAAAGATCAGATGAGAGGAAAGCGACAGAATTATGAATGGTTTTTATGTTCCTCCTCCCTTTTCCACATTTTTCTCATAATATGACATTATTTTATGGATAAAAAATTGTAAAACAAGTCAGAAAACTTACTGCCTCTTTGATAATTTCAAATCTTTTTTCGTCAATTTCAAAGGTAGCCATTTTCTCAGTAATCTTCTTTAGCAAAATTGGTTGCTTGTCATTGTAACCTTTCACTGAGAGCTAAAGAAAGAATTCAGGGTATTAAAAACAAAATGAAACAACTTCCAAGTTAACAGTGTAAATGTTCTTTTTAAATACTTAGAAAACACCAAAGTCAGGTATATTAAAACAAAAATAAACCAATAAACTAAAGTTAACTTCTCATAAAATACAGTTCAACACTCAGGAAGAAATCAACACTAACCTTTTTTACCTTAAGTAATGGCCAAAAGCAACAAAGTCAACAGTAGGTAAACTCACCTGACTCTGAACTATGGCGGCACACTCTGCATCATCAAAATTCATGTTCTCATTCTATCAGATTTAATTATGGAGCATGTTCAAATTTTACCTCCAGAAGGAATCTCTAATGAACAGTAGGATTAAAGTTTTTATAAAGATTGTAAGGAGGTAAAAATCACAGGGGAATGTTATCTAGCAAACTATTGAACATGCGCCCAAATCATTTATGTTTAAATATGTAAAAAATCATCTTTGGAGAAATCAGGCAGCCCGGATTCTCTATTACATGGCATTCTGCCAGTTTCTCATTCAGTGTTGCCCAGTAAGCGTCCACAATTCTAACTACTTGTTTATGTGATCAGTACTGATGTTTCAAAAGCCAGGGGCGGGCCGGCGCCGCGGCTCACTAGGCTAATCCTCCGCCTAGCGGCGCCGGCACACCGGGTTCTAGTCCCAGTCGGGGCGCCGGATTCTGTCCCGGTTGCCCCTCTTCCAGGCCAGCTCTCTGCTGTGGCCCGGGAGTGCAGTGGAGGATGGCCCAGGTGCTTGGGCCCTGCACCCCATGGGAGACCAGGAAAAGCACCTGGCTCCTGGCTCCTGCCATCGGATCAGCGCGGTGCGCCGGCCACAGCGCGCCAGCCGGCGCGCCCATTGGAGGTGAACCAACGCAAAAGGGAAGACCTTTCTCTCTGTCTCTCTCTCTCACTGTCACTCTGCCTGCAAGCAAAGAAAAGAAACAAAGGCCAGGGGCAGAACAAATGTATAGGAGAGGAGAAATACTTACTGATCATTATGATTTTGCCTTAGGACAATTTACCTGAATGCTCTCTGAATGCCTAACACTTTGAAAAGCAGGGAATGAGGAATGCCTATTGCTGCACCTAGAACACCAAAAAATCTCTATCCTGTGAAGAGTGATAGGCAAGAACCCCAGCAAGATGGAAGGTCACTGACCATGCAAGCACATCATATACCACAGGAACTTGACTGACAACTACAGGAAATTCATTTTACCACAAATGAAGATGACGTGTTTTAGTGGTAACATGCTACTAAAAGGCAAAAGAAAAAAAAACCCAAAAACAATTATTAGTATTGTATTTGAAGTTAATTTTGACCTTGGAGTTCTAAAATTTTGTGGACTCTGTGACTGGCTGGATTATATACATTCTTATTCATTAAACAAAAGCTATTAGAACATTTATTTATGTGAAGGAAAAAAGAAACTACAAAATAAATACAATTTAAAAACTCTAAAATCTTTCATGTAAGAAAAAAAGAAAAAAGATACTCAGAAATGTCATTTTACTTTATATTAAAACATACAATATGCTTTAAAGAAAAATGAAGATGAATGTGTGCCACAAGAGGGATGTTAATTTGAAACCAAGATATAATCAAGCTTAGAAATGTATGAGAAACACTTGTAAGAATAGTTATCTCTCACGATGTATTTAACAATGCTTACTTGAAAACACATATAAAACAGTCAATGATGCATGCTACAAAATACACTATATTACAATGTCAAGTGATTTTGAACACAGGAACTTTCTACTATTGTCTGCAGAAATAGAAGTAAAATTCAAGCACCACAAAAATTATCTTTCTCTTATAGATGGTAATGTATACTCAAATACATGGAGAGAACAGCATGCTTTCAGGATCAATATGTTAAACATCTCAAGCACAAAAACATGCAAAGTAAATGTAGCACACATCCATGTTCGCAAGATGCACTAAACTTTACAAAATAATTCATTAGTGGAACTAATACTACTTTTAATCTTCAATTATTAAGAAGATACAAAGCAAAAAAAAAACATTGATTTTCTTGTTTAAAAATGCAGGAGTTAATGGTTTTCCCACGCTCAACATAATGCTTAAATGGTGTGGTGCCTTTTCTTTCATTTTCATTTTACTTACAAGTATTGCATTCATTCCTGATGCAATGCCATAGCTCAAACCTGAGACGCGTGCTGCATATGTATACTCTTTTAAATCATCCTTCAATAACCTGATAAACAGGTATGTCATGTTGCAATGGAGAGGATCAGCATAAATGTAGCGACTAACAAAAAGAAAAACAAAAGAAATGCTTTGATACCTCAAGCAGTGGCATGATAATGAAGAAACATGACCGAAGAGTATGGATATGCAGCCTCATGGTCTGGGTTTCTAGGGAAACAGTATAGGCCAACCTTAAACTTCACAAAGCAAACTATCTTTCTTCTCTTCTGCCAAAGACCAAGACTTCAGATACAGAATGGGTGAGATCTAAACCTAAATCAGGGTCCAATTTTGTGTGAGGAGAGAAATATGACAATCTGGTGAAAGATGTTTAAAAAAGGAGATTAAGGAAAATTTGCATAATATGAATGGTATGTAACTGAATACTTAGAATGAGGGATAACTTAAAAAATTAAATGGTAAGAAAATATGATTAGCATAAACATTTTAAAGAAAGAAATGAAACTCATACCCTCAATCAAAAATGCTTCCATCCAATCAATATAAAAATGTTGATGAGTGGAAGGCTCTAGGACATGGGTACTTACATACATCCCATAGATGGTATTTTGGAGGTCATAGCTCAAGCCTGCTAGTTCTGCTGCATATGCATACTCGTTGAGCGAGTCTTTGAGGAGCTCAAGGTACAAATAGGCCATGTTACAGTGCAAGGGGTCCACATAAGCAAATGGGCTGGAAGAAAATGTTGACAGTAAAATAGCTGATTTATTACTTCCCAATGTGATATGGCCTTTTGAGATGGATCAAGAAACAGAATATTGGTTAATATAATTTTCTGAGGATCTGGTTGAATCCTTGAGTCTGCTTCTTCTCATGAGGAAAAAAAAAAAAAAACCCTTAAGATGTCTGAAAAAAGAATCTTGAAATATGCTGTGTGTGTGCACGCTGGTGGCAGTGAAGAGGGAGATGGAACTGCTTACCCCAGAGGGTGTGACAGAACTGACAAGTAAGAAGGGTAGGGCAGGCAAGGAGTGGGAAATGGCTATACTAGGAGGCATGGCTGACAGGGCTGAAACAGCATTTACATATCCTCTTTCCCCAGTCAAGTCACATCCTTGGTGGACAGGAGAATGAAACTGAGAAATCTGACTGCCATGATTATATAAACCTAAAGGACAAAAACTGAAACCTGTGAAAGTGTTAGCTTATCTCTAGAGTTTTCTCCAGAACAATAAAGCTAGTGAGGTCACTGATAAAACTTATCATGTAACTGCAGCCAGCACTAGAAAAAATATTAAAATAGGAAATTATTTGAAAGTAGCAAAAGAGAAGAAATAATTATAGGGTGTTAAGGGCTAAATAGAATCACAGAAACCACCTAATCTTCACTTCCCAGATAAAAAACATAATTTTTCTTGAGTCACCCGGGTTGGTAGCAGCACAGTTGTATTAAATGCAAGTCAAGAGCCGGCGCCGCGGCTCACTAGGCTAATTCTCCGCCTTGTGGCGCCGGCACACCGGGTTCTAGTCCAGGTCGGGGCGCTGGATTCTGTCCCGGTTGGCCCTCTTCCAGGCCAGCTCTCTGCTGTGGCCAGGGAGTGCAGTGGAGGATGGCCCAAGTGCTTGGGCCCTGCACCCCATGGGAGACCAGGAGAAGCACCTGGCTCCTGCCATCGGATCAGCGCAGTGCGCCGGCCGTGGCGGCCATTGGAGGGTGAACCAATGGCAAAGGAAGACCTTTCTGTCTGTCTCTCTCTCTCTCACTGTCCACTCTGCCTGTCAAAAAAAAAAAAAAAAAAGGCAAGTCAAAGGACCCACGCATCTGACTGTATAACATGCCTACCTTCAAGGGAAGCAAGTACAGGATTCATTTAGTCAGCCTTTCTACTATATGCACACCCTGGTGCCCGGCTCTTCTGCAGACACCAGGAATAAAGAAGGAGCTAATCAGGCAAAGTTGCTGACCTCACAGAGCTTCTAAGTCTAGTTGGAGGAAACAAGTAATACATTTCAATCTGATATATCAGGTGGTAATAGTGCAACAGAGAAAAGTGAAGCTGAATGAGGGGAACAGAGGAGGAAGGGGCAGCTGCATCAGGGAAGGGAGAGCGCTGGTCTACATGCGAAGCTTAATCCAGCCGCTCTGACACTGCGCCATCTGGACTCAGATCTGAAAGTAGCCAGGGAGTGCGCTCCAGGCTGAGGAAACAGCTGGTGCAAAGGACCAGAGCCAAGCGCCTGTTTAGCAGCTAATTAAGTTCCACTGTATACACGGCACAGGAAGTACAATTAATGTACTGATTGTAAAACCAACAATTTTGTCAAAGCTGATAATAAGCTAAGAATAGGGGTAAAATGGTTAGCCACTTACAGAATTAAAATCAAGGAAAAACTTCTACAGTTATCCAAATATTCTCCAATTAGAAAGTCTAAATGAATACTGTATTGCTTGTGTTTTTTTTTTTTTTTTTTTGCTTGCTTGTGTTTGGTTTTGAAGTATTATACATACTGAAATATTTCCTCCTTTAGGCAAATAGGGTCTCAGAAACTTATGGCATGATCCGCCAAAAAAAACAAAAAATCATCAAAACAAGAGACACTATGACAGCTCAGTTTCATGGACAACTGCATATCTTAGTATGTGCCTGAAAAACCAAACCCAGGGGCTCAAGGTCATATGGCTCAAGCTCACAATACAATTCAAAGAAGTGTCCAAAAATGTTGCATTCAAGGCAGCTGTGCCAGTTAACTGGAGAAGTCCCTAAGCTAATTTTTCAAAGAGAACACGATTCAACTGAAGACTAAATTCCAGTTCATTTGTTAATTTTAAAAATATACTATTTTTAAAATCATACACTGGATAGTTAAAAATAGTCACGGGACTTTAAAAATTAACTAAATGGGGCTGGTAATTCCTACAGCAGTTAAGAAGTTGCTTGGGATACCAGCATCCCATGGGGGAGTGCCTGTGTTCAAGTCCTGGCTCCACTTCAGAGTGGCTTCTTGCTAATGTGCACTCTGAGACCAACCAGGTGACGGCTCAAGTAGTTGGGTTTCTGCCAAATATGTGGAATACTCAGACTGAGTTCCAGGCTTCTGGCTTCGGTCTGGCCTGGCTCCAGTTGTACAGGCACTTGCAGAGTAAACCAGCAAGTGCAAGATCTCTGGCTGTCAGTTGTTAGTCTATCTACCTCTCAAATAGATAAAGAATTTTAAAAAAGGGGCTGGCACTGTGGCATAGTGGGTAGAGCTGCGCTGCCTACAGTGCTGGCATCCCATATGGGCACCAGTTCAAGTCCCAGCTGCTTCACTTCTGATCCAGCTCTCTGCTATGACCAGGAAAAGCAGATGAAAATGGCCCAAGTCCTTGGGCCCCTGCACCTGTGTGGGAGACCTAGAAGAGGCTCCAGACTCCTGGATTTGGATCAACCCAGCTCCAGCCATTGTGGCCATTTGAGGAGTGAACAGGCAGATGTAAGACTTCTCTCTCTCTGCCTCTGCCTCTCTGTTAACTCTACCTTTTAGTTAAAATAAATAAATCTCTAAAAAAATTTTTTTTGCTGAGGGCCGGTGCCGTGGCTCACTCGGTTAATCCTCCACCTGCAGCGCCAGTATCCCATACAGGCATCGGGTTCTAGTCCTGGTTCCTCCTTTTCCAGTCCAGCTCTCTGCTGTGGCCCAGGAGGACAGTGGAGGATGGCCCAAGTGCCCCTACACCCGCCTGGGAGACCAGGAGGAAGCACCTGGCTCCTGGCTTCAGATCGGCACAGTCCCAGCTGTAGAGGCCATTTGGGGAGTGAACCAACGGAAGGAAGACCTTTCTCTCTGTCTCTCTCTCTCACTGTCAATTTTTAAATTTTTTTCTTTCTTTCTTTTTTTTTTTTTTTTTTTGCTGGAGCTGTGGCATAATGGGCTAAAGCCTCCGCCTATAGCGCTGGCATCCCATATGGTGCCAGTTCTAGTCCCAGCTGCTCCTCTTCTGATCCAGCTCTCTGCTATGACCTGGAAAAGCAGTAGAGGATGGCCCAAGTCCTTGGACCCCTGTACCCGCGTGGGAGACCTGGAAGAAGCTCCTGGCTCCTGGCTTTGGATTGGCCCAGCTCCAGCTGTTGTGGCCATTTGGGGAGTGAACCAGCGGATGGAAGACCTTTCTCTCTCTCTCCCTCTCACTGTCTGTCACTCTACCTCTCAAATAAATAAATAAAATCTTTTAAAAAAATAAATAAAAGAATGAGGTTAAAAATGGGGGGTGGGGGGGAGTGCGGGGGTGGGCAGCATTGTGGCATAGCAGGTAAAGCCCCTGCCTGTAGTGCTGGCAAGTCCCAGCTGCACTACTTCCAATCCAGCTCTCTGCTATGGCCTGGGAAAGTAGTAGAAGATGGCCCAAGTCCTTGGGCCCCTGCACCCACGTGGGAGACCCGGAAGAAGCTCCTGGCTCCTGGCTTCGGATCAGCGCAGCTCTGGCCATTGCGGTCAGTTGAGGAGTGAACCAGCTGTTGGAAGATTGACCTCCCTCTCTCTCTCTCTCGCTCTCGCTCTCTCTGCTGAATTCTTTCAAATAAAAAAAAAGTTTAAAACCCCTATAACTAAGTATATATAATATAATCCTATTTCTAAAAAAGACAAAACTATATACACACATAAAAATTTTTATAAAAATCCACAAGAAACTGAGCAGTGGTTACCTGTGGGAAAAGCAGACCACGGACATGGGATCTGAGGAAAGCAGCCATTTTCAATTCTAGGTGCTGTGCTGGGCAGTTCAGAGAACATGTAAATACCAAGTGGTCTCTCAGAATGTATTCTGAGGGGTGAGTGTTTGCTCTGTAGTTAAGACGCCCACATCTCACATCAAGAATTGCTCTGCTCCTGCATCCAGTTTCCTGCTTGCTCAGGCCTGCGAGGCAGCAAGGATGGCTCCAGCACTTGGGCTTCTGTCAATCATGTAAGAGAACTGTACTGAGTTCCCAGAGCTCACCTCTGCCCCAGCTGGCTGCTGTTGCAGGCATTTGGGAAGTGAATTTAGCAGATGGGGGTTCTCTGTGTCAGTATTGCTGTCTCTCTCTCTCTAGTAAGTAAAATAAGTAAATATTTTCTAAAAAGATATTCTGAAGAACTTCATAATCAAAGAACCCAAATGGAAAAGAGGGACAAGCTGCCAAGAGTATTAGAAATATCACTCTCAACTATCAAAAAATATAAAAGTAGCCTTTCTAACACTCTTGGCCAACAGTGAGTCACAACCTGAGAGTCTATGTTTGGTGTAACAAATTACAAACCTCAGTGCAGTTCTGAAATAATCTGTGAATCCAATGACACAAAATATAATATTTACATCCCTACAAACTGGACATATTTGGTGATAGGATATTAAATTTCTATTTAGAGATTCTTCTCCCCTTTTCCAAAAATTTGAAACATATCCGCTTTAATTTCAAGTCATGGTAATGGAACAAAAAGTAACAGAAAAGCTGATCATCATATTGAACATTATTACATGATGACAAGTTTATTTCACCAAACATAAGACCACAAATTTTAAAAATATAAAATTATAAACTCACAAAGTAAAATCTGAACTGGGTGATACACTTAACCACCCAAGTAAATAAAAGGAGACAGAGATGAATTGAAGATGCATTAAGGAATCATTGCAGGGGCTGGCTTTGTATAGTGGGTTAAGCCAATGCTTGCAACAACAGCATCTCATATTAGAGTGCAAGGGTTCGAGTCCCCAGTAGCTCTGCTTCTGATCCAGTTCCCTGCTAATGCGCCTGGGAAAGTGTGCCTGGCTCAAGTGTTCATTTAGGCCCCTAACACCCATCTGGAGACCCAGATGGAGTTCCAGGTTCTCGACTTCAGCCTGGCCCAGCCCTGGCCATTGTGCCCATCTGTAGAGTAAACCAGTAGATGGAAGAGCTCTCCTTTTCTGCCTTTCAAATAAAAAAAAAATCTTAAAATCACCGCAATAGTAGTTTTATTCATAAACTTTACTAAATATCTCCTTCATTTTTACTAAATAATTTTGAAGTATCCAAGTGAAGATTAGAGAAAGCTCCAGACAACTGAAGGACTGGAAAGGATGCAGATCATTTCAGACCACTTCTTCTGGACAAGCTCCAGGAAGTGAAAGCTAAAATGATGAAAAACCCCAAATTATTTCTTATTTTCTCAATGAACCTTCTGCATAAATCTACAACCTCCCCAGATTCCAAATTCCTACAGGCTAGGCAGGCCCTAATCAGAATTAACATCAAACATTTCCATCAAAAAGTGTGTTCATCAATGGAAAGGAAGAAGAATGAACAACCTCACTTCTTAACAATATTTCTTCACATTAACAGTAGCAGCCTGGCCTCGCGTAGACCAATAACTCAAATCCCTTTTACTTCTGGATGTGGATGCTCAAGACAGGCAAGTATACAGAAATGTAACTGTTGACTTTTATAAGAAGCTTAATAGTTAGATTCACCTTACGTACCTGAAAAATTCAAAGTTGAGACAAGCCTTTGGCAAGAAAAACTTATCATCTTGTTTGAACCAGAGCTTGCTCATAGCTGTATCCTGTGATGGAGAAACATTTCGGTTAGGAAAATAAGGGCACATTAAGCAAAAACGCCCAATCAAATCACTCTGTAAGAGGAGGAGGACTGAGGCAATGCTTAGGGGTTCTATTCTGAAGGCTGCTGGCCCAGAGCTCTGAAGCATACTCAGAGGGTCAGCAGGCAGGAAGCTGGACAGGAAGTCTACTGATCCCTGCAGGAGAAATCAGTCTTCAGTGTCCCCTGGATTTGGGAGATGGGGACACAGTGGAGGAGACAGATGAGAGAAGCCAGTATCAACTGTCCTAGTCTCATCTTTCCGGACATGGGAGGCAGACAGATGCTGGCAACCATTGGGAGAAAGTAGCAGCTGACCTCCAAGGTGTTCCACAATGATCCCCTCCTCCACAGGACCAGAGCTGGTCTGCCTGATTAACAGACTATGACAGAAATGATGGCTTGACACCTCCAAGATTAGATTATAAAAGACACTGGCTTCCATTTTGATCACTCACCTTCTCTCTTGGATCAATCACTTTGGGGGAAACCACATCCCATGCCCGCAACTCTATATAGCAGGCCATGTGGTAAGCAATGAAGCCTTGTCAACAACCTCATAAATGAATTTCGAAGAGAATTCAGCAGCTCTAGTTAAACCTTCAGATAACAAGTGTTCAAGATAAATTAAATGTCATGCTCCTAAATACTCCTGTCCTGCTGAGTTAATCTGAATATTAGGTCATTTAAAGAAGATAAAATGAATGATTTGTGTCTGTAGTCATTAGCTTACAAGTTCAGAAAAGAGAATGTGCTATAATCATTTGATACATTTTTCTACACAATTTACCCAAGGTGTGAAATAATGACATGAAAAGAACATTCTGAGGGGCCAGCATTCTGGTGCAGCAGGTTAAGCCATCACTTGCAATGGCCAGCATCACATATCAGAGTGCCAGTTCGAGTCCTGGCTAATCTGTTTGTTGTCCAGCTTCCTGCTAATGTACCTGGGAAGGCAGTAGAAGATGGCCCAAGTGCTTGGGCCCCTGCCACCTATGTGGAAGACCAGGATAGAGTTCCTGGCCCCTGACTTCAGCCTGGCCCAGAATTGCTACTCTGTGCATTTGGGAGTAAAGCAGCAGATGGAAGACCTTTCTCTCTTTCTCTGTCTCTCTCTCTCAGTTTCTCAGCCTTTCAAATAAATAAATTTTTTTTTTTTTTTTTTTTTTTTTTTTTTTTTTACAGGCAGAGTGGACAGTGAGAGAGGGAGACAGAGAGAAAGGGCTTCCTTTGCCATTGGTTCACCCTCCAATGGCCGCCGCGGCCGGCACGCTGCGGCCAGCGCACCGCACTGATCCGATGGCAGGAGCCAGATACTTATCCTGGTCTCCCATGGGGTGCAGGACCCAAGCACTTGGGCCATCCTCCACTGCACTCCCTGGCCACAGCAGAGGGCTGGCCTGGAAGAGGGGCAACCGGGACAGAATCCGGTGCCCCAACCGGGACTAGAACCCGGTGTGCCGGCGCCGCTAGGCGGAGGATTAGCCTAGTGAGCCGTGGTGCCGGCCAAACAAATAAATCTTGAAAGAAAGAAAGAAAGAGAAGGAGGGAGGGAGGGAGGAAGAAAGAGAAGAGGAGAAAGAAAAAAAGAAAAAGAATGAACGAACATTCTACAAAAGAAGAGTAAAACTCTCACTCCTCAGTCACTCTTCCCACTGGCTTACATATCTTCATATATCCACTGTGTCAGAAAGAAAATAATTTTTAAGGGCAGAAAAAAATCCAAAGGCTCCTCCTGGACACACTTTCTTCCAGGTTGTGGATATCCTTTCTTATCTCTTTTTTTTTTTAAAGATTTATTTATTTCTTTGAAAGTCAGAGTTACACAGAGAGAGGAGAGGCAGAGAGAGAGAGAGAGAAAGAGAGAGAGAGAGAAAGAGAGAAAGAGAGAGAGAGAGAGAGAGGTTCACTCCCCAGATGGCTGCAACGGCCAGAGCTGTACTGATCCGAAGCCAGGAGCCAGGAGCTTCTTCCAGGTCTCCCAAGCGGGTGCAGGGGCCCAAGCAGTTGGGCCATCTTCTACTGCTTTCCCAGGCCATAGCAGAGAGCTGGATCAGAAGAGGAGCAGCCAGGACTAGAACCGGCGCCCATATGGGATGCTGGCGCTTCAGGCCAGGGCATTAACCCTCCACAGCGCAGGCTCCTCTTATCTCTAACTTTTACCATGCAGCATAAACCTACTCCCTGATCAGATCTTCAGTTGTTATGGAAAAGAAGCCATTATCTTTTGGTAGAATTGTGGTTACAGCCCAGATAGTTTTTTTTTTTTTTTTTTTTTTCCTCCTGCAAATAAAGCAATTCTCTACATTCTATGTTGGGGGGCCAGTGCTGTGGCATAGTAGGTTAAGCCTCTGCCTATGGCACCAGCATTCCATATGGATGCCAGTTCGAGATTGGGATGCTCCTCTTCCAATCCAGCTCCCTGCTAATAGCCTGGGAAAACAGTAGAAGATGACCCAAATGCTTGGGCCCCTGCACTCGCCTGGGAGACCTGGAAGAAGCTCCTGGTTCCTGGCTTCAGAATGACCCAGCTCCAGCCCTTGTGGCCACTTGGGGAGTGAGCCAGTGGATGGAAGATATCTGTGTGTGTGTGTGTGTGTGTGTGTGTGTCTCCCTCTCTCTGTCTACAACTCCGCTTCTCAAATAAATAATCTTTAAAAACAGAAATAAATTCTATGTTGCTCAGTAATTTTGTTTGCTTTCATTTTTTTAAAAGATCTATTTATTACTTATTTGAAAGGCAGAGTTACAGAGAAAGAGGTCCTCCATCCTCTGGTTCACTCCCCAAATGGGCGCCAACAGACAGAGCTGGGCCAGGCCAAAGCTAGGAGCCAGGAGCTTCCTCTGGGTCTCCTAGGTGGGTACAGGGACCCAAGCACTTGGGTGATCCCCGGCTGCCTTCTCAGGCCCATTAGCAGGGAGCTGAATTGGAAGTAGAGCAGCCGGGATTCGAAGTGGTGTCCACTCTGGATTCAGGCATTGCAGGCATGACTTTACCTGCCACATCACAACACCAGTTCCTGCTTTTGTATTCTTAACCTTTCAATTTTTCTGTTTTTTTTTTTTACTTCAAATTTTTTACTTATTCATTTTCATCATAATTGAAAGGCAAAGAAACAAAGAAAGAGAGACAGATAGTTTCATCTGTTGGTTCACTCCCCAAATGCCCATAAATAGCTGGGGCTTGGCCACAGTGAAGCTAGGAACCAGGAACTTTCAATCTTCTTCTCCCATGTGGACAGCATAGACCCAAGTATTTGAGCCATCACTTGCTGCCTCCTAGTACACATTAGCAGGAAGCTGGAATCCAAAGCAGAAATAGGGTTCAAAGCCATGCATTCCAATATGGGAATATTCCAATATGCATCAAGTGGCACTTCAATCACTGCACCAAACATGTGTAACCTTTCTAATATCTCTTGTAGTTATTCTTTCTGCTGTGTTTCTGTCACCTCTTAGGATGTGAGCCCCAAAATCAATAAAGTATCAAACATCAGAAATTATCTCTCTAGTCTGCCATGAAATAGGTATGTCCCCCAAATTTGAAAGTCTAACATCTTACCTTAATGAGAGCAGGGTATGGTGTTGCCTCTTTTTCTAATGCTAAAATCTCAAAATTGGTAGGAATAAATTCATTCTTCGTTGGAAGCTTGAACTTTCCATTTAGGTCAGCATTTTGCCATTTCTGGAAGATAACACACAAAGCAATTCATCTGATTCAAGAGTTTACAACATTGTCTTTGCTCAATACCCACATGCTAAGGGGATAAGTGTTACATAGCATTCTTTTCCATCACCTATGAAAGGATACTACCAGGATTCTTTAATAGGTTTGAATGAAACTCGAGCTGGTCCTTCTGGTGCTAGGGAAGACTTTGTACTCAGCTTATCTTTCCTCTCCACATCTCCAAAATGACCAGGAAAGGTTAAGGAACAATCTAAGACAGGAACATACAAAATCTGGCTCACCCATATGAAGATCATGTGTGTTCTAGCTCTTTAAAGGAGGGACAATAATCTGTGCAAGGATGTAGCCTTGCAACTGTTAAACAATAGGTCATTTATATAAGCTGTACTCTCAGCTATATTAAGTTACTTCTGTGCATGGCTTGGAAGCCAGGCTAAAAGTGCCTCTTTCACTTCATCATTACTTCTTAAGGCCTGGCCCAAACTTCTTCCAGATGAGCTTTCAAGTGAAATGGTAATGCAAATACAAGATTAAGGACAAAGCCGAGATTTAAGTCTGGATTGACACACAAATGTCAAGGATGGATCTGTTCCATGAGTCAGCCCCAAAAGTTAAGAGGAAAAGACCACAGGCCACTGATTATTGAACCACAATTTACAGAACTTTTCATTACTAAAGGAAAAAATAAAAAGCACCAGATTTTCAATAATTCTGTGTCTAGTGATTTGGTCTCCAGCTGATGTGGCACAGTCTTAGAGATTTTTGCAGTTTATTTTGATTCCTGCATTTGTGTAATTTGGCACTGGAATATAGGTGATACTGGCCATACTATTTAAGTAATAGCTGAATAGCAGCAACTAAGAAACAGTAGGTAATTTCACTGCTAAGTGCCCAGATAAATTTGTTTTTAAGAAATTCCTCTTCAGGGTAAGTTTGTTGTGGACAGAGTCTGATGAAGAGGGCGTCCTTTCTTGTTTCAGGATTATTTCAGACTCAGCACTAATTCATGGGAAATAGCTTTTTTCACAGTGTAGGAAGACAGGTATTTTCACACTGGAGGGCTTTAGTGCCTTCCTATGCCATGGATACAACAGAACTACCTGAAATACCAGTGCTGATTTTCTTTCTTATTTCTTTTTTTTTTTTTTTTTTTTTGTCTGTATTTTGTTCGTTTTTGACAGGCAGAGTGGACAGTGAGAGAGAGAGAGACAGAGAGAAAGGTCTTCCTTTGCCATTGGTTCACCCTCCAATGGCCGCCGCGGCCGGCGCACTGCACTGATCGATGGCAGGAGCCAGGTGCTTCTCCTGGTCTCCCATGGGGTGCAGGGCCCAAGCACTTGGGCCATCCTCCACTGCACTCTCTGGCCACAGCAGAGAGCTGGCCTGGAAGAGGGCCAACCGGGACAGAATCCGGCGCCCTGAACGGGACTAGAACCTGGTGTGCTGGCGCCACAAGGCGGAGGATTAGCCTAGTGAGCCACGGCACTGGCCATCTTATTTCTTCTTTATTCTGTATTGCTATTATGGAGATACATTTTTCAAAAACATCCATACTTGAATTTACCTAAAATCTAAACATAGGAAGGCTTTCTGGTATCATCCCATGAATAAAGTTCCCAATCTCAAGAGTATGCAGTCAATGAGATTCAAAAGACAAAGAAAAAGTACCAGATAAAATCAAAATCTTGACAACTAACGAATGTGGTAAAATACTGTCTGAACAAATCTGTTTTGAAATACATCATAATTCCCTTAACTGACAAAAAAAGCAATGATATAATGAGGCATAAAATACAGCCCCTCACAGAGTGAACACAGTATGAATCCCAGAAACTGCTCCCAGCCCGTGTTCCAAGACTGTGAGCTCTCTGGAGCCTTTTGCCTCGTTCATGTTTCCCACTTCCACTTCTTTGCCTTTTGTGGGGCCTTTGCTTCTCTGCGTACCCTGTACTTCAATGCTCCTTACTGCACAAGGCTGGGAATCTACTTTACAGCCCTAGTGATTTTGACAAACACATGAGAATATGATGAGTGTCACTTCTCTTTGCAAAAACCTAAAACCTCAGCTGTTTATCGCCTTGTTCAGTCTTCTCGGGTGGCACATACAACAATGGACTCCATGTTCTGAGCCCTGAGTTGGTAGATGTAAGGAGCTCATGTTCTTGTGGTTCCCCATTAAGGTAGTTAACCCTACCTTAATGACTTCATCTGGTATAGCTTCTTGCTTGTACTGAGTTCCATACCACTCTTCTGTGCGATCAGTTTTTCCTTCAAAAGATTTGGACACTATTGCAACTCTAGATATAGATGGAAAAACCAAACAGAAGAAAAAAATCATGCCATATATATATTTATAGAACCTGACCCACAAAAATCAATGCAATATTCAAGAATATGTTGGGCCAGCATATCCTGGAAGGCTTGACCCAAAAAGGCATTATATGTCTATGTCTATATATATAGTTCCTATTATCCTTTGGTTCTAAGTCCAATTATTTTTAACGTGGAAAAAGTGCTTACAGGAGAGGTTCTTCAATGTATGCTATTGACTAATTTACAAGAAAAATTGTTAAGGGAAAACACGAAACAAGAATGGATGAAATTAGTCCTAAAAAAAAGTACTCTTCCTCAGGAATAGGTCAGATCCAAAGCTAACAGAAATGGCTAAGAAAGTCTGTTGAATCATCCAGAGATCAAAAAAACCCATGAACAAATCAAAAGATATTTTATTATCACTTGCTGAATTTGTGCTGTTCTTCTGCCAGACACCAACATCAAACATATCTACCACATTTACATAGGCCTTTTGCTGCTTAAGGGAGAAGGCAACAAGACCAAGAAATGCCTGTCTTCTGGTTTATAAAAGTTTCTTTGGCTGGGACAGCAGAAGCAGCCCAGAAGTCACATTCAGGGGAGGAAGGTAAGGGTAAAACAATGTCAAAAGGTAAGTGAACAAGACTGCAAGAGCAGAGGATCAGAAGCAGCTCTGTAGTAGAGGAACTCTAAGCTGTCAGAGCATCATCAGAGATATGCGTGCCTCTGTTGCCTTTTAGTTACCTAATTTGAAGGATTATACTCCCAATCAGCATACTCAGCCTCAGGCAGGGACCAATTCTATTTTGAATCTTGTAATCAAGGAATTTCATCCAATAAGCTTGCATGACTTTGTTTGAAGTCAGTCCTGGTTCTGCTTTTCCCTTATGCCCTGAATCAAATAACTTGGTCCATGTCTGCCCTTGCTTGTTCTCCCCTCCCATCCCAGAGATTTGGTTCTAGCCTCTGAAATGTTGGCCTCGCTGCTGAAAGCATAATGCTTGAAATCACCTTTTTTTCTGCTAAGCATCCATTTTCAGAACCCTAACCTCTGTGCTCCAAACACCTAACCCTTACTGGATCTCCACAACTTCCAGAATGTCCGAACTACCTTCTATTTCTTATCATTCTAGGCAAGATTCTTTACCTGGCTGACTCAACTCAGTCTTATCACCTACTCTGCAGTACATATATCCCAAGCAACCTGACTCATCCATCTGTCAAACTAATCTAGCTCCAAGTGTTATTGGTCTGATCTGCCACTGATCACTATCAGTTCTAGAAAACATGTGAAGTAAGAAATATATTCCACAGAAATAGAGAGGAATCAGCACTTAGCAAATGAAAGTTTCATTATGATGCCAGAGGAAGTAATGTGAGCTGGCAGTTTGAGAATCCCTTTTGAGAGGTTCATGTAGAAAGTGTTGGGGTGCCAGATTCTGTCCCGGTTGCCCTTCTTCCAGGCCAGCTCTCTGCTGTGGCCCGAGAGTGCAGTAGAGGATGGCCCAAGTGCTTGGGCCCTGTACCCCATGGGAGATCAGGAGAAGCACCTGGCTCCTGCCTTTGGATAGGCGTGGTGCGCTGGCCGCTGCGCACCAGCCGCGGCGGCCACTGGAGGGTGAACCAACGGCAAAAAGACCTTTCTCTCTCTCTCTCTCTCTTTCTCTCTCACTGTCCACTCTGCCTGTCAAAAAAAAAAAAAAAAAGTGTGCAGAACTCACATGGCCAAATGAAGGGTGTGTGGTGTGTGTTACTTAAAAGAATTCAATACATGACAGTTTACTACGATTTAGCCCAAGAAACTGCTTCTATTCCTGTTGATTTCTTAGAGAATTAATAGATCAACTAGCAAGGAGACCTCTGAAGGGGATATTAGGAAGTCAAAGAATCTGAGAGAGGGATGATGATATTCCACGAGATGTTTGATTCTCAAAACGTGCATTACATGGATGACTTGAGTTTTCAGGGATGACAGCCTGGACAACAAAATAAACAAAATAACAAGCAAAGAACTGCTAGCAACTTGTGAAAAACAAAGCTTGGCAGTGGACCTGCCCTCTGAAGCTAGAAAACTTGAAAGTCAGTTCTATGACAGGAAGTAAAAAGGTTCAGAGACAGCTGACAAGCCAGGTGCTCTGGAAGATAACCAGACTTGTACGACACAGAAAGAACCAGACACTGGAGGCTGTTCAGTAAGACTCAAGTTTAAAAAAAATGGGAAAAGAACGACAGATTTGTCAGGTTTTAACTTTAGGGATTTAGACAGTTACATTCGAAAGTAAAGTTTATAGGTAATATTTGTGCTGGCACACCGGGTTCTAGTCCCGGTCAGGGTGCCGGATTCTGTCCCGGTTGCCCCTCTTCCAGGCCAGCTCTCTGCTGTGGCCAGGGAGTGCAGTGGAGGATGGCCCAAGTCCTTGGGCCCTGCACCCCATGGGAGACCAGGAGAAGCACCTGGCTCCTGCCTTCGGATCAGAGCGGTCCGCCGGCCACAGCAGCCATTGGAGGGTGAACCAACGGCAAAAAGGAAGACCTTTCTCTCTCTCTCTCTCTCTCTCACTGTCCACTCTGCCTGTCAAAAAAAAAAAAAAAATAGTGGACTAACAAAAAGAAACACTTTTGCAGACCAAGAGTTAGTGTATCATTAAGAAGTTCACAATTGAAATAGACGGCGGAAGGGTGTTACCTGAAAAAGAAATGAATGCAAGGAAGTGGAATAACAGTAGTGACAGAGTACACACACAACAAACTATTATAGAAATCTCTGAATCAGAGTGTTTGGAAGACACTGATTGTAACATTCACATGCCAAAGCTGGCGTTGTGGCGTAGTGGGTAAAGCTGCCATATGCGGCACTGGCATCTCATATGGGCACTGGTTCAAGTCCTGGTTGCTCCACTTCCAATCCAGCTACCTGCTAATGTGCCTGGAAAGCAGCAAAGAATGGCCCAAGTCCTTGGGCCCCTGCACCCATGTGGGAGACCTGGGAAAAGCTCCTGGCTCCTGGCTTTGGATCAGCTCAGCTCTGGCTGTTGCAGCCATTTAGAGAGTGAACCAGAGGATGGAAGATCTCTCTTTGTCTCTTCCTTTCTCTCTAACTCTGACTTTCAAATAAATAAATAAATCTTAAAAACAAAGACAGAAACAAAAACATATGCATATGTATATCAGAGGGCCTGGGTTCAAGTTCTGGCTCCAGATTCCAGCTTGCTGCTGGGGTAGACCCTGGGAGGCAGAGAATGATAGCATAAGTGGTAGGGTACTTGTCACCCAAAGGAGAGCCCTGGATTGAGTTTCTGGGGGCCCAGCGTCAGCCTGACCCAACCCTAGCCACTGTAGGCATTTGGGGTATGGACCAATGGATGGCAGCTTTCTGTCTCTGATATAATAATAATAAGAAGAATATGGAAGTACAGGAACAAACACCTGAATTAGGAGGAAAAAGGCAAGTTACAATAACCAGAATATGTGACACATAATAGATAGCTGTAGAATGTTTAACTGCAGACAGTTGAGAAAAATTTCCACAGCCACTCTAGTATTTTATTGTATCTGCTGAACACCTCATTATAATAAAAAATTGTTTTGAGGACAGGTGCTTCTTTAACATGATGGGGTACAGATAGAGGTGTGCTACCAACATGATCCTTAGAAACCTAAGGAAATGACCTTTTCCGCATCATACTAAAGCCCACAATAGTGAGGGAAGGAAACAGTGAGCTAGAATAAATGCAGACTGTTGACTTCAAATAGGGACAGTCAAAAGTGTTTACGAGGGATGTAGCTGCAGGAGCTACATGGGAACCACTTGAAACAAAAGGTCTCCTGACTACAGATGTTAGACAATATGGTTCTCAAGGAATGAATTTTCATGATGTTTTTGCAAATAATCACTGAGAGAAAAGGAGCAAGACATCTAAAGGATGAGAAGAGTTTTCAAAGGTAATTATGATGAATTCAGACAATTAGTAGAAGGGGAACAGACATGGCAATTACAGGCCTCGATTCTGGTGGATACTCTGACTCACCCTCTCTGAGAGCTTGCCAGAATCACAGTTAAGATCTAAGTTAGACAACATTTATCCTCTCTGGGCTTCACTTTCATTATTCTATAAATAGGGATTTAAATTACTCGAATTCTAGCCTTACACTAGAATTCTACAATATCATAGCAAATTAGATTTTGCTAAGATAAAGAATAAAAAACATAGAAAAAATCTGGTGAGACTTGAAAATCAATCTCAAAGAATACTAATAGATAAGCTTAATTGCTTAGTAAACTGAGACTTGGTTTGGCTACTGGCTTTGGCCTGGCTTGGCCTGGCCCAGTCTGGGGCCAATGAGGCCATCTGGAGAGTGAACCAGCAGAAGGAAAATGGAAGATCTCTGTCTCTCCCCTCTCTCTGTAAAAATAATTCTTTTAAATAAATAAATAATTTTTTAAAGATTTATTTATTTGAAAGGCAGAGTTACAGAGAGATAGAGAGAGCTCGTCCATTCGCTGGTTCACTCTCCAGACGGCCATGCTGGCTGAGGTTGGGCCAGGCCAAAGTCAGGAGCTAGGAGCTGCATCCAGGTCTCCCACAGGGACCCTAGCACTTGGGCCATCCTTCACTGCTTTCCCAAGGCACATTAGCAGGGAGCTGGATGGGAAGTGGAGCATCTGGGACACAAACCAGTGCTCATATGGGATGCCAGTGTTGCAGGCGGCAGCTCTAACTAGTATGCCTTGATACCAGCCCCTAAAATGCAATTCTTAAATTAAGAAGGAATCAAGAAAGATTAGGCTAAAAGCTTTAAAAATCGAATCAACTTTTATTGAACCGTTACCTGTTCAAATTCTGGGAAAGACAAACCATAATTCTTTCCTGGAAGAAACATGACCTAGAGTAATTGATTAATTGATCTCATAATAACAGATGACAGAACTATCCTTCTCTTAGTTACATCATCTTTGAAAGGTACACAGGTCACTAAACTGCAA